AGTTTTAACAATAGAGAACATAGATTCTATTCAGGGTTGGATTAAGGGTGGGTCTAGTGTAGTTCCGCAATTGTAGGTGGGTCTCCATGGAATGCAGTTTCGGGAAAGCGGTTCTGGTAAGCAGAGATGATTATCAGCTGATGCGGCGCAGCAGCCATCTTGTGATTACCGGGAATGGTGCTGAGAAAAGAAAATCTCAAGAATAGATATTAGTTCTTATGGATCTTAATAAAGAACGGTACTTATATAGTTTTGTAGGGATCTAAAACTTAATTTGAGGAATCCTAATATATTTATCTATTTCACTTGGTGAGGGCGAGGGGGTGTCCTGGGCCAGTTTTGGCCTAATCCTATTTTAGGTAAAGAAAGCATTAAGTTTACCTTAAATGTATTTTGAAGGGCCTTGCAAAGGTCAAGATTATTTCTGCCTAGAGAGAACTTCAGCCCACCCTCTATTGTGATCATGGAGATAAAGCATTGTAATTAATAGTGAGTGATCAGAGCAAAGGGGAGCGGTAGGGGGAACTTCCTGGAAGATTTTATCGTATGCTCAGGATGTATAAGAGAGCTATGTAATTCTTTTATAGTAGTATATTGGGGAGTCAGAGGGGGGGGTCGCTTCCCAGCAAGGCTGCCATAGTTTCTGGAGCAAAATCCTAGGTCGGGGTGGGCGCACAGTAGCGACCTTGCCAACTTACTGAACCGACCGGAAGCGAGGGGACTCAGACAGATCCTGGGGCCCCGCCGGGTCGGACTCCTCCAGAACATGCTGCAGGTTCCCTCTGTCCCCTCAGGGGCCCGGAGTGGGCCTCAGTGCAGTTCATTCGCACCCACACCCCTGCCTCCCTCCAGAGCATCCAGACACACCCTGCTGCTCACAGAGCGCCTGTGCCAGGTGGGCAAGCGAATGGGCCGTTGTAACTCTCCAGGTGCTGCTCACAGTACCTGGTACAGTGGGCATGACTTGGCCAGGGTGTGCTGTGACACTGATGGCTGTCATTTATAGAAAGTGCCATTCAGCATTTCTCTGGCCCTAGAGTTGGACACTTCACACACGTGTTTGTGGACGAAGCCGGGCAGGCGAGTGAGCCGGAGTGCCTCATCCCCCTGGGGCTGATTTCTGACGCGGGTGGCCAGGTAGGTGTCGGCCGTGCCTGCTCTGCCTGTCCTGCTGCAGACGGCAGGCGCAGGGTCCTATAGCACTCATGGCCCTAGGGGTCAGAGTACCAGGGGCTCCAAGGAGCTGACTGGCTGTGGTGGCGTCATCCGGGCACACCCCCTGGTCCCGGGACAAGGAGGAAAAGGGCCGCTTGTCAGGCAGGGCTCCAGGACGAGGCCAGGGCGGCGCAGGGGTAGCTGTCAGGGACCCGGAGTGCAGCAGCACCCGTGATCCCTGTAGCACACGTGCCCGAGAGGAGCCCCGCCAACCCCGATCCCGCCGACAGAGGGCCTTGTCCTACTCCCACCTGCACCTCCTCTGAGACCCCTGGCAGTGACGTGTCACCTCACACTCCCACACTCCTCCTCACGCTCAGCCAGGAGAGCTTGTCTGGCCACTGCTGCATGAGGGTGGCAGGCTCCCGATTCCTGCCCCCGGGGGTTCCCTGAGGCCAGGTTCCACCACGCCCACCCGGTGGCAAGATGAAGTACAGGGACTTCGGCCCTTCTGGTGGGGACATGTGCTCTGCTGGCCAGGGGCACAGGCATGAGACGGGCATGGGTGGCGTGTTGGAGGCGTGGCAGGGACCCCGCCAAGGCAGCACCAGGGAGAAAGGCCAGGGATAAAGAAATGCCGAAAGGGAACCAGCAGTTAGCGTAATGGCTATTTCGCTGGACTCCCACATAGTCGACCACGGTTCGCATCCCGGACCTGGTGGCTTAAAACTCACGCTGGGTGCGTGTGCGTGCGTGCCCAAGATCCCGAGAGGAGAATGGAGGCGCACGCGCCCTATAGCAAAAACCTCTCAAAAAAAAAAAAAAAATGCCGAAAGACAGGGCAGTCCTAAGGGGGTTGCCACCTTGACAGGCGAACAGGAGGAAAAGCCAGGCTGGGATACCAGGCAGGGGGCTGTCGGGAGCCACGTGGAGGCTGCTCCGCCACCAAGGCGCACCTAGACCTGCACCGGCCCCTCTGTCCCTCAGCATGGTCCCAGCCAAGGTCGTCTTACACAGGCAGTTCCAGCTGCCACCTCCCCAGTCCCTGCAGCCAAGCCGCCCCTGGGGCCCCACGCCCACTGCGCTGCAGCTGTGGGAGGCACCTGGGGTCTGCTGGCGACTATCTCCCTTGCTGAGCTGCCTTTTGTGCCCCAGATTGTCCTTGCTGGAGACCCCATGCAGCTCGGCCCAGTCATAAAGTCCAGGCTGGCCCTGGCCTATGGGCTGAACGTGTCGATGCTGGAGAGACTCATGTCCCGGCCCGCCTACCTGAGAGACGAGAATGCCTTTGGGGCGTGTGGCGCCTATAACCCCCTGCTGGTAAGCTCCCTGGCTATGGAGGGAAGTGACAGGTAAGGTGGAAGCCTTGTTCGGCTAGAGCAGGTGGAAGGACGCATGGCAGGAGCTGCTCACCCTTTACCAGAGTCACCTCCAGAGACTGCGGAGCCCAGATCAGCGTTGCCTGCCACCAGCAGAATGCCTGCCAACCAGCCTTGTCTGCTTTGAGAGTGGTGGCCGTGGGAGCTTCTGGCCCTTCACGTCTACCTGCCCTCCTGTCCTAAGTAAGAAGTTGCTTCATTAGGGTGCCCCCTGGAAGTGGGGCTGCAGGTGATCAGACAGTGGTGACCGAGACCCTGTGGGTCAGGCTCAGTGAAGTAAGCAAGGTTTGCACTCCCCTGCTGATGGAGGGAAAGCGGGGTAGCTAGGGGCTTGACCTAAAAGGAAAGGCGCCTGCTGTGGAGACACGTGTCCCACCCGCTCACCTGCCCCTGCCATGGAGCCTGTCAGAGCTGAGAGGCAGGTCGGGCTTAGCCCCCAAGGCTGAGTCGGGAGGCCGGCTGTGGGTCTGCGTCAGTGGGCCCCAGTGCAGTGAGCCAGGCGGGCCGGTGGAGCCGACTCCCCCTGCACAGGAAGCAGAGCGTGTGGTCTGCCTGAACTGCAGGCGTGCACGAGGCAGGGAGCAGTGCCCAAGCACCAGAGCCCAAGAGTGCCCGGAGGGACATAGGGGCAGAGTCTGTGAGGCAGGGCTCAGGCTGAGGGAGGCCTCCTAGGGACCACCCACAGGAAGGCACTGCTCTTGGGGAACTGCCCTGGAAAGGACAGCCAGCTAGACACCTGCTGGGCCCAGAGAGGCACGGGAGAGCTCCGGACTGCCAGCTGCTGCCCTGGGGGAGGGTGGCACCCAGCCTGTCGGCCAGCAGGGCAGTGCTCTCAGCCCCAGCAGACACAGGCCGTCCTGCAGCAGGGCCCACCTCCCGCCTGGACAGACAAAGCCACTGTGAGCAAGTGGAGACCACTCGCCTCCTTCCTTTCCCCAGCCACCGCCCATGCCTCTCCAGACCAGAGGTGTAGGAGTCTCCGTACACCTCAGCAGGTTGGACGCAGCCTACCTACTGGCACAGGCTCGTCCTAGGGTTAGAAGAGGTCATGGCCTATCCGCTTTCATGCCTGAACCAAGAGAAGGAAACCTGCCCTGTGAACTTCAAGGCCCACTTGGAGCACCCATGCCAGAGACATGATCAGGGTAGCCATGGATTCTGTCAGTCAGGCCCAGTCAACCAGTGCCCTCAGGGCCAGCTCTTCTACACCCAGGCTGGGGCAGGGCCCGTGGGCTGACAGGGCGGTGGGTCTCGAGCAAAACTTGTGCGTGCCAAAGGTGCCGCCTTCCTGCAGTCTGGCTGCCGGGCCGGGCTGGAACACAGGCACTGCTGTCTCTTGGAAGAGGCTTCCTGCCTCATCCATCCCAGGAGCAGAGTAAAGAAACACCCTCCTCTCCTCCTGGGTGTTGAAAGAGACCCTTGGTTTGACAGCTGTCTGAGGGGCCGGTCCAATGGCAAGTGACATGCTAGGGGAGGGAAGTCAGCCCAACCAGGGAGGGCTTCCCGGAGGTGGGTGCCATGGCAGAGCTCACATTCCGCACAGAACCCGCCTTCCCTTTCCTTGAACTGCCCTGTGTACTGACACCTGCTGGGGGCCTGTGCCCTCCCTGCAGGTCACAAAGCTCGTGAAGAACTACAGGTCCCACTCAGCCCTGCTGGCCCTGCCCTCACGACTCTTCTACCACCGTGAGCTCCAAGTCTGTGCCGACCCCAAAGTGGTGACCTCTCTGCTGGGCTGGGCAAAGCTGCCCAGGAGAGACTTCCCCCTCATCTTCCACGGCGTGAGGGTGAGTTGAGCTTGGCCATCGACTGCCCTGCTGGCGTGCAGGACATCTGTGCTTGAGGTGGTGGCTTCCAAGAGCGGAGTGCCCACCCTGCACTGCTCCTGGCTTCATCAGTCCCATGTGCTCTGTCTGACCAGACCTGTAGCTCAGGGGCGGTGCAGATACTCCGTGTTAGGGACAGAAGGAAAACTCACAAGCATTCCTTAGAATCAGGGAGCTTCTGTTAGGGGCTTTGCTGTTGGAACCAGAAACTCCATTTTGCATTAGCCTCTCAAAAGCAGGTTCAAGAGTTAGGCTACACTTGGGCCCAACAGGGAGAAGGGGCTGTCGCCATGGCTGCCTGCAGGCCTTGTGCTGTTGCTCCACCCGCGGCGGGCCTGGCTCAGTCTCCCTGTAAACTACCTGGGGGAGCAGTGTGGCTGGGACCCGCCAGGCACGGGAAGCTGTGGGGCATGTCCCCCCACACCGTAGCCTCCCAGGACAGATCTCTGCGGTGTGGGACCTCAGAACTGGACGCACTTGGTGGTGGCTACCTCCTCGGGTGGCTGCCACTGTCCCTTCCCCTGGGAGTGCCCCTGGCCCCAGAAGCTTTCCTGTGTGTCAGAAAAGACAAACTAGGGGTTAGGCAGGCGGGCCACTGCAGAGAGGTGGCAGAGCTCTGCTGTTGCCCGAGACGGGCGTCATGGGCACACCCGTGCCTTACAGGCGGCCATACAGGTCCTTTCAGGGTCATCTGAGTATTTAGTGCCATCCGAGTGAAAATCCGAACAGGCTTCTTCATTAGAAACTGTTTATAGAATGGAGATGTAAATGTGCAAAAGGTTTTATAAAAGAAAACAAACCAGGGGCCAGCAGGTGGCGTGGTGGTTAAGGCGCTGGACTCCCACACAGTGGACCACAGTTCGGGTCCCAGACCTGGTAGCTTGAAAATCACACTGGGTGTGTCTGCGTTTGTGCTAAAAAATCCTAGGAGAATGGAAGAGGGGATTGCAGGGTGACCGTCCTCCCTAGGAGGTGATTTCTTTTCCCTCTGTCTCTAGCAAGTGGCAAAAACCACTATGTCAAAAACCCTTAAAAAAAAAAAAAGTTGGGAACCAGCAGTTAGCGCAATGGCTATGTCGCTGGACTCCCACGTAGTCGACCACGGTTCGCGTCTCGGACCCGGTGGCTTAAATCTCACGCCAGGCTGTGTGCGTGTGTGCGTGCCCAAGATCCCGAGAGGAGAATGGAGGAGAAGGGATTGCGGCGTGACCATTCCCCCCTGGGGGGTGATTTCTCGCTTTCCGTCTCTATGTCTCTCTCTGTCTGTCTGGCGAGCTCACGCGCCCTATAGCGAAAACCTCTTCAAAAAAAAAAGAAAGAAAAAACAAAAGTTCAGTCCACTAGAGAATAAAGCAATCTATATGGTTGGAGTCCTAGGTGGAAGTGCCCAGTGCACCCCACTGGGGGAATGCTTTCTCCCTCTCTCCTCTCTGTCTAGCATAGTGCCTGCTCTCTGGCAAATTGAGAAAAAAAGAAAGGTGTGCAATATAAAACCGTATCTAGTTGAGAAAAAAGGCAGATTCTTGGAACAGAGAGCCTAGGGACACCGATTAATTATTTTTCCAGTGACCAATTAAGTACCAAGACCCTTTCGTCCTGAGGATAAACGAGGGATAAAGCCTCCAAGTCTGGCTGCATTCCTGGAGGCTCGTGAGAGCCAGGCCCGCTCCCACTGCTTCCACAGAAGGCCTCGTCCCTGGGTAGGAACTATCTGCGGGGCTGCTGTCAGGCCCACCCCTGCTCTGGCCCTACACACTCTCACCTTCCATCTCCAGCTGGTCTGCTCAGCGCCCCCACACCGCACACCACTCTGCCTGAGCGTATGCTTTCTTCTCTGCCTCTTTGGCAATTAGTCCCCTGGGCAAGCTCTGGAAAGACCTGCCCACTCCCTGCTGTGCCTGCCTGAGCCTTGCATGTCCTTGACAGGAAGCTCAGCAGGGGTATGGCATGAACACCTGCAGGAGGAGTCTCAGGGCCCAGGGCCCAGGCCCCAGGCCCCAGGATGGCCACCAACAGCCACCAGAAAGACTCCCTTCTCAGGAGCCTGCCGCTGCAGCAGCAAAGCCTTGCTGGCCACGCCCTCAGAGCCCAAGACCTTCCCTGACTGGCCCTTTCTGGAGAGGCTGTGCCGACCTCCAGTCGACACTCAGCTCTGGACTTAGCTCTGTGGTTTCCTATTGCTTCATAATTTCCAGTTTCTGTCTTTAATTACTTTCCCTTACCAACTTTACCTCCACACACAAGTTCTTTTAAGATGAGCAGCCAGCCCCCGCCTTTCTCTGTCTGCAGCTCCTGCACCTGTCGTGAGGCCCACCTTCCACAGCGTTCCACGCAGCGCAGCTCCCCTGGCTTTCTTAATGAGTCCCGGGTAGCAGTCTTCTTAACTTCCAAATAGTGAAGAATTATTCTCCCTGATTTTACTAGGTTCTGGTCAAGGATTTTAGTGTGTGACCCTCTGCTTTTACAAATGTTCTGAAGACACACCTCAAGCCTACACGTCCTCAGAGGGCTGTGGGTCTGTGCACGTTAACGTGGCACGTGCTGACTGTCGGTTAGCTCCCTCTATGCCCAGTGGGAGAGGGGCAGCAGAGCTTCCCGGTGCCATTGTGCTTTTATCAGATCACCCTTGAGCCTCCCGTTGTTCTTGCTTTATGTATGTGACTGCATACGAGTTGGCCAGCGCTGTATCACACACCATGCAGCGTGTGTGTGTGTGTGTGTGTGTGTGTGTGACTGTGTACGAGTTGGCCACCGCTGTATCACACACCGTGCAGCGTGTGTGTGTGTGTGTGTGATTGCATACGAGTTGGCCAGCGCTGTATCACACACCGTGCAGCGTGTGTGTGTGTGTGTGTGACTGCGTACGAGTTGGCCAGCGCTGTATCGCACACCGTGCAGCATGTGTGTGTGTGTGTGTGTGTGTGTGACTGCGTACGAGTTGGCCACCGCTGTATCGCACACCGTGCAGCGTGTGTTTGTGTGTGTGTGACTGCGTACGAGTTGGCCAGCGCTGTATCGCACACCGTGCAGCATGTGTGTGTGTGTGTGTGTGACTGCGTACGAGTTGGCCAGCGCTGTATCACACACTGTGCAGCATGTGTGTGTGTGTATGTGACTGCGTATGAGTTGGCCAGCGCTGTATCGCACACCGTGCAGCATGTGTGTGTGTGGCTGCGTACGAGTTGGCCAGCGCTGTATCGCACACCCTGCAGTGCCCTGTACCGTTTGTGGTTTTACCTTAAAGTCTGCCTCGTAGTACCCACACTGCCACTTCACTTTCTCTTCACCTGGTATTTCTTTGTTCTTGGTTTTCTTTTTTTTTTTTATCATTTTAATTGTATTACTCAGCAGGATTTGTATTTGATTCAATTTAAAAGTCTGGTTTTTCCTTTCTTCTTTTTTTTGACCAAAAAGGCACATGTGCTTGCTCCTTCATTTTCACCAGCTACTTACTATCGTCTCCTTTTCCTGACTCTTTCTAGTGGATTGGTTGATAGTCTGATTTTACCCCCCATCAATTTAGTTGTGCCAAAAGTTTCCATCCTATTCATCTTTTTTTTAATCTACTTCAACCATGTATTATAAACCTAACGGTATTTAAAGTACATGTGGTTTAACAACAGCAGCAAATATGCCTGGACACTAGCTCTGTGGCCTGGTGGTTAAGGCAGCTGGACTCCACATGGCCAACTCCACAGTTCAGGTCTAGGACCTAGTAGCTTAAGGAACATGCCATACATGTATGCATGCATGCTCAGTAGGAAGGAGAAGTGGAGGAGAAGTGGTTTCGAGGTGACCATTCCCCGTGGGGGTGTTTTGTCTCTCTCCTCCCTTTGTCTCTCTCTGGCAAGTGGACCTGCCCTTGGGCAAGACTACAAGTGTATGTGTGTGCGTGTGCACATGCATGTGTGTATAGATGGATAGAGTCACAGATCCTGAATATTAATAAATTCTTTTTTTTTTTTTGGAGAGATTTTCGCTATAGGGCGCGTGGACACTAGCTCTGTGGCCTGGTGGTTAAGGCAGCTGGACTCCACATGGCCAACTCCACAGTTCAGGTCTAGGACCTAGTAGCTTAAGGAACATGCCATACATGTATGCATGCATGCTCAGTAGGAAGGAGAAGTGGAGGAGAAGTGGTTTCGAGGTGACCATTCCCCGTGGGGGTGTTTTGTCTCTCTCCTCCCTTTGTCTCTCTCTGGCAAGTGGACCTGCCCTTGGGCAAGACTACAAGTGTATGTGTGTGCGTGTGCACATGCATGTGTGTATAGATGGATAGAGTCACAGATCCTGAATATTAATAAATTCTTTTTTTTTTTTTGGAGAGATTTTCGCTATAGGGCGCGTGCGCTCGCCAGACAGAGAGAGACGGAGAGACAGAAAGCGAGAAATCACCCCCCAGGGGGGATGGTCACGCCGCAATCCCTTCTCCTCCATTCTCCTCTCGGGATCTTGGGCACACACACACACGCGCCCAGCGTGAGTTTAAAGCCACCAGGTCCGGGACATGAACCGCGGTCGATTACGTGGAAATCCAGTGACATAGCCATTACACTAACTGCTGGTTCCCAATAAATTCTGATTGCTTTATCTGGTGTTCGCTTTTTTTATTGTGATAAAATACACGTAACGTGAATTTACCAAGTTCAAAAGTTCATAGTGTGGGCCAGCAGGTGGCGTGGTGGTTAAGGGCGCTGGACACCCACATGGCCAACCGCTGTCTGAGGCCCACACCTGGCAGCTTGCTTTCTCACTTTCTCTCCCCCTCCCCTTTCATTCTGTCTCTCTCTATTCCAATTTAAAGAAAGGAAGGGAAGGGAGAAAGAAAGAAAGAAAAAATAATAATACTTTTTTTTTAAGTTTGTAGTGTTAAGTATATTCACATTGTTTTATAATTAATCTCCCAAACTTTCTCATCTTGCACAACTGAAATTCTGTATCCATTAAACAATAACTCTCTGTTCTTCTTTTCCTCAGTCCCTGGAAACCACCATTCCACTTTCTTTTGTTGTTTGTTTTTAAGAGAGATTTTTGCTGTAGGGTGTATGTGCTCATTGGGGAGACAAAGTGAGAAATCACCCCCCAGGGGGAATGGCCACACCACAATCCCTTCTCCTTCATTCTCTTCCCAGGATTTTGGGGACGCACGCAGATGCATCTAACATGTTTTAAGCTACTGGGTGCAGGACTCGAACGGCAGTCAACTACATGGGAGTCAGTGGTATAACCATTACACCACGTCTGCTGGTCTTTACTTCCTCTCTCTACATAAGTGGAATTACAATATTTGTCTCTTGGTATCTAATGTGTTTCACTTGGTATAATGTCCTCGACATTCATTAACTTGGTAGAATGCACCAGAACTCCTTCCTTGGTAAAAGTTGAATAAGTCCACTGGATAGATATTTTGTTCATCTGTCAATGTGTACCTTGGTTGCAGACATTTGATTATTGTGAATGTCGCTATGATATGAATACACAGATTTCTTTGAGAACCTGCTTTTGATCTCTGTACCCGGAATTACTGGATTACGTGGTGATTTTCTTTCTGATTTTTTCAGGAGTCACCACCATATTTTTCCACAGCAACTGAACCATTTTATATCCCTGCCAACAGGTGCACGAGAATTCTGATTTGTCCACATCCTCACCAATATTTATGATCTGTTTAAAAAAAAAAAAAAACACACATTTATTCAGCATCACAATAAAACTAGTACATTTAGCTCAACAGCCAGGATGCAAAAAGAAAAATCTGCATTTAGACCCTTGGTTGGAATACTGTACACTTTCCACAGAACCGAAACAGAAATAACTTGTTACACGGTCATTCACACAGTCCTCATGTTTTTTGCCCATACACATGTGTATTGTCTAAAACGTGTCGTCTTTGTGGCAGTATGGCCCTGCCGTCACTGCACGTGGCTGAGCTCACAGACCCATTGTGACCTGTAGCTCCCTCGTCACTTCTCTGGCTCTCCTCTCCTGCCGAGCTGTGCTTCCTGGCAATAATTAAAACCTTTGGCCACTGCCATAGCTGCTACTGCTGCCACAGAGCTGCCATAGCCACCTTGATTTCGTGGTTTGGCAAAGTATTGGCTTCCACCACTATAAGGGCCAGAGCTACTGCCTCCAAAGTTTCTGCCCTTCAAAGGTTCGAAATTTGAAGACCGATTGTCATAATTGCCAAATCATTGTAGCTTCTACCACCTCCAAAAATTGCTTCCAGTACCACCACCAAAGCCGCCTCTGCTGCCTCCATTTTTAGAGCTGTCATAGCTGCCACTCGTGCCACAGCCATGACCCTGGTCTCCATAACGCTGTCCACCACTTCCATAGCCTCTGCTCTCTCCAGAGCAACCAGAGCCACCTCTTCCATAACCACCATCATAACAGATCCACTATAGGCATCCTCACTTCCACTGTATCCACCACCACCACAGCTGCCACCAAAGCCACCATGACCACTGAAGTTTCCATGACTAAAGTTGCCATTACCACCAAAACCTCCTCCACAACTACCGCCAAAGTTGCAGAATCACCTCAGTCTCTTGAAGTGGAGGAAGCACTAGCCGTCTCTCGCTTGGACAGGGCTTTCCATACGTCACAGTGGTGGCCGTTCACAGTGTGATATTTCTGAATGACCGTTATCCACAGAATCACGGCCATCAGAGGTGACAAAAGCAAAGCCCGTTTTCTTGCCACGGCCCCAGTCAGTCAGAATTTCCGTCACTTCAGTTTTCCATACTGTTCAGAAGTTTCATTTTGTGTTTTGTCAGAGAGTTGTAAGTTCTTTACGTGTTTTAGATATTGACTCCTTACATAAGATGTGCAAATGCTTTCTCCTATAGATTTCATTTTACTTTATGGGTTGTGTCCTTGGATGCACGAAATATTTAATTTTTCTTGTTAAATTGGATCTATTTCTGTTTTTGTTATTTACGGTTTTGGTGCCATATCTAAGAAATCATTGCCAAATCCAGTGTCATAGGACTTTTTTCCTCTGTTTTTTTTTTCTTATTTATTTACTTAATTTTATTTGTTAATGTTATTTTTAATTTTACCACAGAGAGAGAAAGGGAAAGTGAGTAAGCAAACTGCCAGGTCTGGGACTCAAACCGCAGTTGGTCATGTGGTAGTCCACCTTAACCACCTTGCCACCTGCCAGCCCCTTCCTCTCTGTTTTCTATTAAGAGTTTTTTAGATTTAGGTCTTAACATTTAGGTGTTTGATTCATTTTGAGTTAATTTGTACATACAGTATGAGATAAACATCCATCTTCATTCTTTTGCATGTGAACATCTAGCTTTCCCAGCACTATTTGTTAAAAAGACTTCCCTGGGACCAGCAGATGGAGTAATGGTTACATTGCTGGATTCCCACATGGTTGACCATAGTTCAAGTCCCAAACTCAACACTGGGCACATGTGCACACGAGCCCAAAATCCCGAAAGGAGGTTGGAGAAAAAGGGGTTGTGGTGTGGCCATGCCCCCTGGCAAATGCTTGCACCCTATAGCAAAAATCTCTCTTTTAAAAAAAAAAAAAAAAAAAAAAAAGCCTGCCCTGTATCAGCCACATGGCAGTGTGGTCAAGTACCGCAGAGGAAGCCAGATCCCACGCGGCCGGCCGGGGCGCAGTCCCGGACCCAGTTATGTGACCATGATCCTGGCGAGGTGGGAGGTTGGAGGAGAAAGATCACAGTGTGAGCAGACACCATCAGGTGGGGGTAATATGTCCTCTCTCTTTCTCATCCTCTGTCATTTCAAAAAGACGAGACTATACTTTCCCCAGGTGAATGATCTTGGCATTCTTGTCAAAAATCATTTGACTTCGGCCAGCAGATGTGGTGTTTAAGATACTATATTCCCACACGGATGACCATGGTTTGAGTCCTGAACCCAGTAGCCTGAGAACCACGCCGGGTGTGTGTGCATGTGTGTCCGCAATCCTAAGAGGAGAATGGAGGAAAGGGGATTGTGGCATAGGCATCCCCCCTCAGGAGGGATGATTTCTCGCTCTCTTTGTCCATATCTCTCTGGAGCGTACACATGCCTTATGGCAAAAACCTCTACAAAAAATCGTCTGACTGTAGATGTGAGGTTTTTTTCTGAGCTTTCTATTCAATTCCATTGCCAGACATGTCTCCTTTTATGCGAGGCTGTATCCATCTTTAAAGAAGGGATTCTTTTCAAGATGAGTAATACCTTCTGTTCTCTAATAGGAAAGATGAAGGAAGGTAAAAGCATTCTAGGTGTAGCTGAGGGGTCGACTGAAAGAGGACACCTTGGCTGGTGGCGGGGAGCCTGAGTGAGCGAGGGGCCCCTTGGCCTGTGGGAAGTGGGAAACCGCAGCGCCCACAGACCGACCTTGGCTGGCCAGCTGCCTCAGGGCATCAAGCCATGCCGTCTGCTCTCACCATGGTGCCCTGAGCTTTGGCCACACAGGCCTGTTCCCACGACTGGCATGCTGTGACCCTCCCGTGTCACCTCACGGGCCTCCCTCCACCACATGGCTGCTCTGGGCAGGTCACTCCTGCAGTCTTCACTAGACACAAGCTCCTTTATAGCCTGGCTTCTACTCCTGTCTTCAGTCTCCAAACGATAGCTCTGTAGCATCCAATGTGAGTATCAGGAATTTAGTAATTATGTAATAACATCTGCTCTGCTGGAGTGTGATAATAGGGATTTTTTTAATCATGTATTCCCAACTCCTGCATCAGCTCCTTAGTTGGAGGCTCTGGGGAACTTTCATTGAGTAAGTGAGATCTCCTCTCCTTAACTCAGGGCAGTGAGGCACGTGAAGGAAGAAGCCCGTCATGGTTCAACCCCGCAGAGGCTGTCCAGGCCATGCGCTACTGCTGCCTCCTGGCCCGGAGCATCTCGAGTCAGGTGCCCGCCAGCGACATCGGTGTCATCACACCCTACCGGAAGCAGGTATGCCCCACTCGTGTGCAGCTCTGTGGGAGGCAGAAACAAGCTTATTGGAATGGCAGTAGGTTTTTAAAGAAGCAGGACGGTCTGAGTGCTGCTCTAGATCTGAGGGTGGCAGAGGCAACCAGTGCCACTCCAGCCAGTTGCTGGCCTTTCTACAGCCCAGGGCCCTGGGCGACTTACATTTCGGAAGGAAGGGTCACCTTTTAAATGCTTGCTAAGGGCCTATGTAATAATTTCGCCATCTGGCCCTTTAAGAAAAAGCATGCATCTGCCAGCTCCGAACTTGTCTCTCAGGCCCACAGCTGGTGCGCTTGAGTGAGTGCTCCTCGTTTCCTGTGACTCGTGCACCGTCGGGAGAGCCAGCGCAATTGCCCCGGTGCCGAGGCCCAGGAACATTCTCTGTTTACTGAGACAGCCAGAAACTCCCACACGTCGACAGCTGCTCTGGCGGTGTGGCGGAGGACAGGCACCTTCTGTGCTGTGCATCTGTCCCTGTGGTGTGCACTGCCACCAAGCCACTAGGAGGAGACCTGGACAGTAGGCCAGAGGATAGGGGGAAGGTGCGGTGTGAAGCCCCGTACTCGCCACACCTGTATCCCAGGTGGGACCTGGCAAGGGAGGCTTGGCTCTCCCCACGGGAAAGAAAGTCCAGGCTTAGCTCCTGGCATGGCAGGAGTGCACTGCTCCGGAAAAGCTGGGTCTCACGTGACAACCACAGTTCACATCTCTGGCCTGGTCGGCCTGAAACAGGCTGGGCGTGCACACGAGTGTCCCACATCAAATGGGCTAGAGGCCTGGAGGATGGGGACTGTGGCCTGATCCCCGTGGCAAATCGTTCTCCCATGCTCAGGTGTGCACACACGTTCTGTCATGAATAAAGACTTCTCTCTTTCTTCACTGGAGCACATGCATTTGCCAGAGAGGGAGGGCGAAAGCACACCCTAGTGAAGTGCTGTAACACCTCGGCCCCGTCTTCACTTTCCCACCCTGCTTGGGCAAGGCGTGCAAGCTGTGGGTCGGGTGCAGGCTCCTTGGGCCGCTTGGAGCCCGGCGCCTTCACCACACCACCTCCTGACCCTGCACATCTGTGTGTGTTTACACATCTTAACATTTTTTGTTGATAACTAGGAATTTTAGAAATTACACCTGTGGGGCCAACAGGTGACATGGGGTTAAGGTGGTGGATTCCCACATGGCCAACCATGGTTCCAGTCCTGGACCCAGCAGCTTAGAATATAAGCCAAGCACATGTGCCTATTTTTATATGAAAATATAAATATATGTGTGTGTGTGTGTGTGTGTGTGTGTGTAGAGAGAGAGAGAAGCAACTCTAAACTCCCATCGCCCCTGAAGGTGACTGCTGCTGTCTTATGCTGGTTTCTTGCTTAGTGACCTCCCGAGCTAACCTGTGACATCCCCGTCCCTGCAGTGCATCACCACCGCCATCCCTGTGAGGGTTTTTCATCTTTTTTATTTGTATTTTTGGAGTGTTTGTTTGTTTGTTTTGTTTTGTTTTGTTTTTGCTATAGGGCACATGTGCTCACCAGAGAGACAGCGAGAAATCACCCCCCCGGGGGGATGGCCATGCTGCAATCCCTTCTCCTCCCTTCCCCTCTTGGGATCTTGGGCACGCACGCACACACGCCCAGCATGAGTTTATCCTCCAGGTCCAGGGCTTGAGCTGCAATTGACTACACTACATGGGAGTCCAGCAACATAGTCATTATGCCACCTTCTGGTCCCAGGGTTGGTTTTTTTTTTTTTTTTTTTTTAACCTTTTTGATGGTTTCTCAGCCTGATATCCCAGGGTGGTTCCTGTCTGCAGCTAGTGGTCAGCTAGCGTAGGATAGTTGCCACCCCTGCAGTGGGCAAGCACAGGCAGGGCTCTTGGGCCTGCCCTTGCTGCTGTTCCTTGCCAGGCTCCTCAGGCCTGCCTGGCGCCCAGGCTTAGCCACAGGCAGGACAGCAGGTGGCCCAGCCCCATCCCCAGCCCCCAGCACGTACTGGTGGCGCCCCATGCTTGCCTCTCCCCGACATCACTGCTGCTCTGACAGGTCTGGGACCTGGGCCTACCCACCGCCAGCTGGAGGGAGCCCTGCCGCAGCACCGCGGTCTCCACTACTCTCACCAAAGTGTCTCTTAAGTTGTGGTAGTGTCACTTCCTCATGACCAACTTAGACACAGGTGATCTGAAGTCCTTTTCCGACCGCTCACGGTTCTGTAGCCAGTGCTGCTGTGCCCATGTTCATTCTCCTCCTGCTCGTCCCTCCTTGGGTGTCCACACACCAGCACTCAAGCCCAGAAAGAGCTCTGCGGAGGCCTCAGCTGCTTCTCTGCCCCTCTTACCCCAGGAGCCACACCTGGAGCTAGCCTACCGTCCGTGAGTCATGGCACGTGGGTGCCTCCCGTCCTGGCCACAGCCGCTTGTTAGCGGTCCCCAGAGCCCACTCAGCGGCAGGTTCAGCCCCACCCCAGGGAGATGTGCCTCTCGGTTTTAAGCGGCAGGCACGTGTCTCCTTTCTCAGCCAGTGCGTCTCCTCTACCCCACTGAGTGCTTGTGGAGAAAGGTTCCCACATGAACCAGACTCTTAATAAGTCTTGACCCCTTTCCTCAGTTTATCTAAAATTGGGATTTGTGTTTTAATCAATTTGGGTTTGAAAAAATACACAGAAATGAAAAGTGATGTTGTACATTGATTAGTATTTGGTCCACTCTGTCATGTGGGAAGAACTTGTCATAGTGGGGTCAGCAGGTGGTGTGGTAGTTGGGGTGCTGGATTCCCATATGGCCAACTGTGGTTCAAATCCCAGACCAGGCAGCTTACTTTCTCTCTCCCTTTCTGTCTCCCTCTGGTCAAATTTTAAAGATAAATTATAATAACAAAATTAAATAAATTTTTAAAAAAGAACCTGTCATAGTTGTATAATGTTATCTTTAATCTTTGTTTTAATCTGTTTTAAAGGTGGAGAAAATAAAAATTCTCCTGCGAAATGTTGATCTGATGGATATAAAGGTTGGATCAGTAGAGGAATTTCAAGGGCAAGAATATTTGGTTATCATCATTTCAACTGTAGGTACCTGTTTTTATGGGGAAACCAGTGCACTCTGGGGCCACTTGGTGCTCATGGGGCTCTGGGCGTATCCAAACACAGCAGTGAAGCTGGCTAGTAGCACAGGAAAACATGTGCAGGACAAAGACTCTCCTGTACCCAGGTGCCACTGCAAGCTGTAGATGTAGGAAGTTCTTCAAAGCAAGCAAAAAATATCTCCAAGATTTTGAGACAAAAAAGGAAAGGGGGCCAGCAGGTAGCGTGGTGGTTAAGGGCGCTGGGCTCCCACATGCCAACCGCGGTTTGAGTCCCAGACCCAGTGGCTTCCTTTCTCACTTTCTCTCTCCCTCTCTCTTTCTCACTCTGTTCCCCTCTGCTCAAATTTAAATAAAATAAATAAAAATATGTCTTTAACAAAAAAAAGGGAAAACGGGTCCAGGAAGGACTGGTAAACATGCCGGGGAGAAGGGGGAAATGTCAGGAGGAGCAGGAGGCTGGCCCCAGGCTCAGGACTGCTGGCACCTCACGCTGCTTCACTCTCAGAAGTCCATTTCTTTCTTCTAAATTATCCTCATTGAATAGTGTATGTTAATACAGAAAAGCCAGAAAGTTCAGATAGATGCAGAAAAGAAATTAGGAGTCACCAAAAAATAAAACGCCCTACCATCAGAGCCCTTGAGCATTTGGGCAGCTCCCTGCCCTCCCCTCCGTGGCCTCCTGCACCATTCTTAACCAAAAATGGCCTCGCCCAGCCGTGTGACATGTCTGCCTATTTCCACTTCCCACAGTGTCCTTTCATGCTCCAAAAATGGAATAAAAAGCCTTCAAATACTGCTCTATTTGCCTTCTTGTAGGTACGATCAAATGAAGACAGGTTTGAAGATGACCGATACTTTTTGGGTTTCTTGTCCAACTCAAAACGGTTTAATGTCGCCATCACCAGACCCAAGGCCTTACTGATTGTGCTGGGAAACCCACACGTCCTCGTCAGAGTGAGTGTTCAGTACCCGAGAGCTGCCACTCCCTCACTTAGGGAGGGCTGGGGAAAGGGGTCCGGTCACCAGAAATGACCACTGAGCCAAGAACCGGCCCTGCCTGCAAGGCGTGCACACAGCAGCTGGGACGTGCCGGACCTTTGCTCACTTCAATCTGGGCTCGTGGCTAAGGCAGCTGGTCCCATGTGGCCAACTGCACAGTTCGAGTCCTAGATCCGGCGGCTTGGAAAACACACCAGACTTGTGTGTGTGCCCAAAAATCCTGAGTGGAGAAAGAAGAAGGGATTGTGACGTGGCCATCCTTCCTCCCTCTCTCTCTAGTAGCACGCAGGCCCTTATAGTAGAAACTAAAACAAAGCCAGCCCTGGGATGGCGTTTGTCTCCAACAGGACCCCTGCTTCGGAGCTCTGTTGGAGTACAGCATCACCAACGGCGTGTACACCGGGTGTGATCTGCCTCCTGAACTGCAGGCACTGCAAACGTGAGTGCTGCTGCTCATCCTGGAGCCAGGCCCTGTCCCCAGGGCTTTGCACACCCACACCCACCTGCCCTGCCCTGCCCTGCCCTGCCCTGCCCTGCCCGAGGAGCCCGCAGTGCCCTTGTGAAATCGTGTGGGGAGAGTGGCACTCCTAGCCACAGCGGCGGCCAGCCCAGCTCACAGGCCCTCTGCCCACAGCTGTGACTAGATAGCAGCCCTCCCGCCTTGGAGTGCCGATCTGTGGGGCCAGAGAGGGGGCGGGAACCACCACATGCCTGTCTGTGGACCCGGCCCGCAGCCCTCCTGCCGCCGGGGTTTGCTCCGAGATTCACGTGCCTGCCCCTCGTTGCACAGCCCCACATAGGAGGCCGCCCGCTTGTCTGAGCTGTTCCTGCCCCAGTGGGTCCTGCCCTGGGCAGTCCCTGTTGCCTGTCTACCCTGAAATAAATGCTCGAGTGAGTCTCTGCCACCTTTCCACCTCGAGACGTGCCTGTGTGGGTGACGAGAAGGGTTTCATGTGTCCTCTGAACAGCTGCTGGTCATTGTCCTTGGAGATGGCCTCCTTGTCTTCTGTCCTGAGCCAGAATCGGCAGGGCAGCCGCCAGGAACACTGGGGTGAAGCACACCCGTTCCATATCTGGGCATAGAATTGGGGACAATGTGGCAGCAGCCTGGCTGGGACTCTCGGGGTCCAGACAGATGCCCTCTTGGAACCCTCCGTGCCTTCAGGGCCACAACCACATTGGGACCCTGGTCTGTCTGTGCCCCACCGTCCCACGAGGAGGCCCAGGCCACTCTGCCTGCTCCAGAGTCCAGCCCGGGGAGAAAGACGCACCCATCTGTGATGAGGCCCCTGCCCCACAAGTGGCATAGGCCCTGTCCAAAGGTCATCAGCACTCAAGGTCACGTCTGTCCACTGCCAGGAGTCCCACAGAGACCTGCAGGCAGGGCGGCACCCAGCATGGGACTGCCTCTTCTGAACGGACGTGCAGGTGCCGGTCCAGCCCCAGCAGCTCACGTGAGCAGCCATGTGGACCCGCTCGGGCCTGTGCTGAGCCCCCAGTGCTGAGCTCAGCTGTGCCCTGTGCTCCACAGGGCTGGCTCAGCAAAGCCACAGGTGACGTGACGAGAGCCTGGGTGTGCTGCCCCCCCTTCCCTCACCAGGGTGCAAGGCCATCGACCAGCAGCCCGGGACACCCACTCTGGCCTCTTCCTGCCCCTGAAGCAGCCTCTGCATTGAATTCGAAATGGGGCCTCATGCCACCCTGTCCAGGTGCACTGTGTCCTTGGGCACTGCCTGCTCACCGCTCTCATCAAGGGCACATGGAGAATTTCAGGGCATGGCCGGTGGTGGCGCAGAGGCTAAGACGGCCGGCTCCCATATAGTCTACCGTACAGTTCAAGTCTTGGACCCGGAGGCTTGAGAAACAAATGGGTTGTGTATTCATGTGTGCCCCGAGTCCTAAGAGGAGAGTGTAGGAGAAGGGATTGCAGTGTGGCCATCCCTTCAGGGGGACAGTTTCTCATTTTCCCTGTCTCTGTCTCTCTGGTGAATGCACATGTCCACTGGCAAAACTTTTCTAAGAAGAGAATTTCAGGATGTCGGCAACAATGAAGTCCCGCTAGGGCCCTGAGCATTTGGCCTCTGGCATGAAGCTGGCCCCCTCTGGAGCAAGCCCTGGTCATCAGGCAGGGGTTAGTGGGCCAGGGCAGGCCAGGAAGTCCTGGTGAGCTGCTCAGAGGTGCACAGTCCCCAGGATGGGAGAGGCCTGTGCAGGAATCAGAAACTGCTGATGGAACCTCAGCGGGAGAGAGCCAGCCATCGAAGGGGAGGCTGACACTCGCTGAGCCAGGTCCCTGGATCCAGGTGTCATCCAGCCGAGGATGTCTGCTGGTGTCCTTGAGCCAGGCTCATCTCTGGTCCCCACACCTGTCCTGAGTCTGTTTGAACCTAGAAGGAGGGCATCAGGAGCGAGAGGCTGGGGTGGGGTCACGCTGCAGCTCCTGTCCCCCAGTGGCAGCCCTGGGCCCAGGGCTTGTGCTGGTCAGTGGCCTCAGTGAGGGACTGTCCAGCTGCAGGAGGTGGACCCCACGGAGACCTGCAGGCAAGCCAGCACCCAGTGTGGGTTAAGTCGTGCTGCCACCTGAGGGCAGTGCGGGGCCCACAGAGGGTCTCCCAGCCCCTAGCCGCACAGCTCAGCGCCCAGGCCCTTTTTCATGACCCACAGGACGTAAGGATGGCAGAGGACAGGTGGCTCGCTGCAGGCAGAGACAGTCTAGCTGCAAAGCCAGCCGGTGCTTCTGCCTGGAGCTCTGCCACAGCCACCACCTGCCTGTCCCACTCCCGGGACTGGCCGTCGAGTGGCTCCCCTGAAGAGCAGATTGTCTAGGAGCCCAAGAATGGGGCCCATTAGGCCAGTGCTTCCTGGTGCAGCTGCAGTGCAGGGCGCCAGCCACGCCTGGGTCTCCCGGAGGAAGCGACACCCTCAGAGGCAGCAGGCCCAGCGAGGGTGCCCAGGGCAGGGCACTAAAGGGGGGGCTCAAGGGGGCAGAGTATAGGCCAGGCCCAGAGAGACATCAGGGTGGCCGGAGTGGGGGCAGCAGAGAGGGCGTCCCGCCTGATTCCTGGGCACACCTGGGCCCCGAGCCCTCAGGCAGACAGAGCTCAGAGCAGCTTCCGGGGACACTGGGGCGCAGCTGGGGCCCTCAGAACGCACGGACCCTTAGGGCCAGCCAGGGGCATAGTAGTTGAGGCACCGGTCCCACATGGCCAACTGCGGGGTTTGATCCCAGACCCAACAGCTTGAAAGAGAGTATTGGAGGGATACTGCAGCAGGAAAGGACAGTGGGGCACTGTACCCAAAACCCTGAGAGGGGACTGTGGTGTGGCCAGCCCTAGGGTGTGCTTTCGCACTCCCTCTGCATCTCTCTGCAAGGGCCCCCTCTTCCCTGTAGTGAACTCCCCCCTGGCCCACCCAGCCCATCCCAGGGGCAGCAGTTCCCGCCCCAGATCAGCCCACGGGGGTGGCTAACAGGTGAGCCACTTGGCTCTGGTCAGCTCTGCTGATAATGATCGGCTCAGACCTAAGCAACCACTCCAACTGGTTCCGCCCCCTGTAGGGCTGCGGTCTGTGCCCCCACAGTCCCACCCGCCCACGCTGTTCCAGCTGGACAGCGGAGAGCACAGCAGTGCTGAGCTGACAGCGGTGCTGAGCTGACAGCGGTGACAGACTCAGGGAAGCCTCACATTCTGGTACTGAGGTCTGGAGGGGCTGGACGACCCAGGAGCACAGTGGACAGGGTGGCAGTCCCTGCCCCTCCAGCAGAGGAGACTCCAAGTAGCAGGACTTTCAGGACCCTCCCTGCCTAGGGCCTCGTTCAGGTGCTCAGACGTGTGCCTCCCCCCATCCTCTGAGTGGGACAGCACCAGGGCATGCCTCAGGGGTCCCCCTGGCAACCGCCTGCTGCCCTCGGTGGTCAGACACCTGGGCAACACCGCTGGCTGTGTCCGGGTCACTGGCTCTTCGCTCAAACACAACGCCAGCATCGGGGACAGACTTGCAGTTTTCCGGGGCCAGGGCCCTTATGCCCGTGTCCGCCCCAGGAGCTGAGCCTGCTGCCACGGTGTCTCTCCACCCACTTCCTGTGCCGAGCTCTCCCCTCTGCCCAGCACCCTCCAGCTTCAGCCCCACAAGCAGATACCTGCAGGGCTGAGCTGTCACCTTGTGGTGCAGTCCCCCAGGGTCGCCCTGTGCGCCTGGGCAGAGCTGGAGAGTGGGTTTGGGCCCCAAGGCACAGAGCTGGGAGTCCCAAGGCCATGGCCACCCCACTTCCTCCTGGCGAACCCTGAAAGCGCTGTCCATCGAGGAGCCTGCCTCGTCGCCACTCCCACAGTCTGCATCTACTTTTGGACCACTTTTTGTTTTTTATTATTTTCCTACGAAGTCCCAACTTGGACAAGCTTCGGGGATTACCCCCACCCCCATGAGCACACCCCGCACTCAGCCCTTCCCCCGCGTCGGCCTTGCTGGCCATTCCTGTGGTCTCAGGCTTCAGGTCCCTCCTGACTCCTGCATTCCCCCAGTCACTTTTGGAGTCCTGTCAGGGTGTGGGCCTGCATCCCTCCAAGAAGGCTGACCCTCCTGAGACCAAACTGCCTTCTGGGGCCTGGTGTGCAGTGGGCAATGGGCCAGTGCTTGCCTCCCAGGGAGGCCAGGCAGGCGGAGCCGGCCCTGCCCCCTTTGCCTCTTGCAGGCTGGACTCAGCCTGGCCTGGTATTAGCCTGCCAGTGCGTGGGGAGTGTTGCACATGTGACTCATGGCCTCCCACCTCAGCCTGGCCCAGTGCAGCTGTGACCAAACTGCATACCATGCATGTGGGGTGTGCACGTGTGTACTGATGAGTGGACGCACACGCCTGTCTGCACAAACATGTGCTGTGCACATCGGGGGGTGTGCTCCCGAGTGTGAGTGGCACCACACCCCGGGGGTGAGAAGACCCCAGCCCACTGCACCGGCGGGGAGGCCGAGGCTCAGGGGCCACGAGTTGCCCCTGGGGAGCATATGCCAGGACTCTGAGCTCTCACTGAGCAACTCCCCCAAAGTCTGGCCCAGCTGCGGGACCTGGCTATGACAGGACAAGGGCCGACGATTTCAGGGGCTTGTTCTCCTTGGAGGGGAGCTAAGCTCAAAAGCCCCCACCAGTCTCCCCGGGGTGGTGGACAGCCTGTGGGCCCATGCAGGACAGGACAGCCACCTGGCCTGACTGCCCAGCCGGCTTCAGAGATGCCCAAGGAGCTTCCCGGGAAGGGGGCAGGGGGCTAGTGAGGGCTTGTGCTTCAGAAGGCCAGAGGCCAGAGGGAGGTGGCCAGAGTTCTTGCTCACGAGGGCAGGGGCTGGCCCAGCGGTGCTTTACCCGCAGGTGGACAGGGCGCCTCCGAGGCGGGTTTGTCCAGACTGAAGCCACAGCCTCACAGCTCAGGCCAGACAGCACCTCCTGAGGCTACTGCTTGGCCTACCCTGGTCCACCCCAGTTCAGCGGCCAGTGCCATGTGTCCCCTGGTCCCACCCCAGGCAGCACTGCAGTCCTTGCCCTGGCCCCTGGGCCCGGCCTCTGCTGGCTCCTTTGTGACACTTGGCCTGGCGCACGCTGCTGTCTACACCTGCTTTCCCCGTCTCGGTCTCTGTCCTGAGCACTGTCCCCGAGGGCCACCCTTGGTAGCCTTGTCTACTTCTCAGCTCCCTCCCCAGAGAAGACCCCAGGCTTCTCTGTCCAGCGCTGGGTTGAAGCGGACCTTGAATCTTCAGTAATTCATGAGCAAGTGAGGGGAGGGACAAGGGACGGGCCTGACACCAAGGGGTGACCAGTGAGGTCCTGAGGAGAGAGCTAATGGCTCGGGCTGTCAGGAGTCCAGGAGGCTGCTGGGCAGCAGCTGCCATGGCCTCCTGGCAGATGTGGCCCTTGGGCACTAAACGCAAGCTTAAAGAGCACCTAGATGCCCGGCAGCTTGAAAATCACACCAGGCGTGTGTGTTCTTACCCAGAGAGAAGGAATTCCAGAGGGGCCATCTCTCCAGCGTGTGTGTGAGTGGGTGGAGGGCGGGTCTCACTTTTCTTCTCTATCTCTGGGAGTTGCATGTGCCCAATGGCAAAAAAATAAAAATAAAAATAAAAATAAAACAACTAAGGGCGCTGTCCTTGTTTGTTTTTTAAAAGTCGTCATTGTCTGGGGCCAGCAGGTGGCATGGTGGTTAAGGGCGCTGGACTCCCATATGGTTGACTGGGGTTCGAGTCCCAGACCTGGCAGCTTGCTTTCTCGCTTTCTCTCTCTCCCTTTCTGGTCAAATATAGGTCAAAGTTAAACAACTCCTTTAAAAAAGAGTCATCACTGTTTAATGCCTATCGCAGGTCCCAGCTTGTTGCAAATGTTGCCATTTTAAAGCAAAACCATTGAGACAGAAATGAGACCCAGTGAGTAGGTACCTGGGGCAGGGACCCCCAAGAAAGAATCCCTGTGATAGAAAATGGAAACACGTACACTGAGATAGAGCCGGCTTACAAAGTGGAGTCACTCTGGACAAGCTTTTGAGAAGGATCATTCACTGCTGTCACTAGAGATCAAATCTCTTTTTTTTCCTTTTGGAGGTTTTTGCTATAGGGCGCATGCGCTAGCCAGAAAGACAGAGAAAGACAGAAAGCAAGAAATCACCCCTGGGGGAATGGCCACGCCGCAATCCCTTCTCCTCCATTCTCCTCTCGGGATCTTGGGCACGCACGCACACGCGTCCGGCGTGAGTTTAAGCCACCGGGTCCGGGACTCGAACCATGGTCGACTACGTGGGAGTCCAGTGACATAGCCATTACGCCAACTGCTGGTCCCTAGAGATCAAGTCTTAGCTCTGACACTTGCTCACAGTTTCTTACAACCAGAGCTGTTTTACAGCTTGCTTGATCAATCACAGCCATCAGGAAATGCAGCCTGACACTCTTTGAAGATCCCTTCTCTCCTCCCCACCTGGCTCTCGGACCAGGAAGGTTGTCATCTTCCTTCCGCTGTCCCAGATAGTCACACAGAAATTCACCACTGGGAGGGGCACTACGTCAACACCCGGGCAGTGCCCAGATACGGATCATTCCTTCAAAGGCCACTCTGGGCATGTGTGTCGAGACACTCAGATTCCCTGCCTGGGAGAGATGGGCAAGCACAGAAAACCCGGGAATGACCTGCTAAATACTCGCCATCGCCCGCCAGTATGTGACTCCTGACTCATGGCAGAGTCACTGTCCTCTGGCAGCTGCCCACCTGCATGGCATGGGAATGTATTTCTTCCCTTTTAGAAAGCTTTTCTATGAAAACTCCTTTCCTACTCTACGTGTGTGGTTTTTCACTGTGGGTCTCAGAGATCTGGACCTAAAGAGCAAGGGTTTCACACTGCAGGGCTCAGCCCCCCCTCCCCCAGTGGCTCTCCCTGCAGGCAGCTCACTCCCTGCAAGCTCCCCTGAGCAGCACCAAGCTTGTCGCTGAGCTGGCATCTCCATATGACAGCCAGTCCTGCAAGCCTCAGAGTCAGCTTCTCTTCTCAGGCTGAACAGGCCTAAATAAAAGCAAGAGGTCTGAAGCCGTCTCGCATGGGAATGTATTTCTTCCCTTTTAGAAAGCTTTTCTATGAAAACTCCTTTCCTACTCTACGTGTGTGGTTTTTCACTGTGGGTCTCAGAGATCTGGACCTAAAGAGCAAGGGTTTCACACTGCAGGGCTCAGCCCCCCCTCCCCCAGTGGCTCTCCCTGCAGGCAGCTCACTCCCTGCAAGCTCCCCTGAGCAGCACCAAGCTTGTCGCTGAGCTGGCATCTCCATATGACAGCCAGTCCTGCAAGCTGCTTCTCAGAGTCAGCTTCTCAGGCTGAACAGGCCTAAATAAAAGCAAGAGGTCTGACGCCGTCCCATGTTCCAGTATCCACTCCCTGCCGGGAGCTCTGATCTCCCTTCCTTCCACTTGCTAGGCCACTGCCCTAGACCCGGCCCAGCGCAGATGCCTTGGCAAGGTGCGGCTGTTAGATGCCTCCTGCTCTTCTCCTGGGCGTGGTGTCTGGCCCCCAGGTGTGCACAGCCAGATGACTGGCTTGGCTCAGGGGCCACATGGCGGTGCAGTGGTGACGCCAGGTATGTGATGTGGAAGCCACACGGGGAAGTGCCGGGCCGTGTCCTGAGGCAGGGGGCACCAGTGTGTGTACATGTGCGTGTGCGCGGCCGGGGTGGGTTGAGTGCAAGGGCCCAGTGGGAGGCACTCTGAAGAAGAAACGTGCGGGGGTTGGCCGGTGGTGGGATAGTTACGGCACTAGATCAGACTTGTCAGCTCCAAAGTATGTCGGGCACGTGTGTGTGTGTGCCCAAGATCCTGAGGAGAATGGAGAAGGGATGGCATGGCCATCCCTCCTGGGAATGAGTTCTCACTGTCTCTGTCTGTCTCTGGTGAGCACAAATGCTCTATGACAAACACCTAAAAAAAAAAAAAAAAAGAACACACACTAGTTAAGATGTGCCTGAACAGGGTCTAGTTTGGGGCACTGATGGCTAAGACACCATTGGGGCTGCAAGAGCTCTGCGTCCGCTGCAGTGAGAACAGATGTGTGCGCAGCGCGTGGCAGCATGGTGACGTCACTGATGCTGGTGGACCGCTCCTGGACACGCCCCCGGGACAGGCCGGGTGGCATCTGCAGCAGCCCACCATCTGCACTGACTTGCCAGGAAGACTTCATTCCGGTCATGCCCGTCTTGGTCCGTCGTGCTGCTGAACAGAACGACCCGAGGCTGGGTGACTGACAAAGGGGTTTGGGCTGGCCCGTGGCTGTGGTGATGGGAGCTGGATCCCACATGTGGGCCACAGTTCAAACCCCAGCCTCAGTAGCTTGAAAAACTGGCTGGGCATGCGTGTGCCCAGAATCATGGCAGTGTGGACAGGCAGGGGGGAGGGTTCACCGCGCGGCGCTTTCTCCCTCTTTTCTCTCGCTGGTGCTGATTCTAGATGGCTTAGCCATCCAAAAATGGAACTCTCTGCACACCCCCTCCTCTGGCTCTACCTCTCCTGATAAATTCGGCGTACTCCATGAAAAATTGGGCACATCGGTCCCTGCGGGACACAGCTGCCGTACCTGTCCTCCCATAGGAAACGTAACTGCTTTTCCAATTGGGGTTTCATGGGGGTGTCCGGATTACCTGGGGAATGTCTGAGTTACCTGGGGGGGGGGGCTGGGTTTTCCCTGGGGGGGGGGGGTCTGGGTTACCTGGAGAGTGGGTTACCTGGAGGGGTCTGGGTTACCTGGGGTGTTGGGGTACGGGAGTCAGGCACTGCACAGTAAGAGTAGACAAGCAGAACACAGGTGCACAGACAGGTGTGGTTCCTCTGCCCGAGGGGTCTTTAAAAGCACAGAGAGGGCCAGCAGGTGTGCGGGTAAAGACGCTGGACTCACACAGCCGCCTTCATTCCAGTCCTGGGTCCTGTGGCTTGGAAAGCATGCCAGGCACCTGTAGTGGATACCCAAATGCCGAGAGTGGAGGAGAAAGGGACTGCAGCAAGGCCACCCCCCGGGGGTTGAGTTCTCACTCCCCCGTGAGTGTGCACATCGAAATTTTTAAAAATACCTTTAGATTATTTAATAATAATAAAAAAAAAACAGAGAGATGGAGCCAGCTAGTGGCATGCTGGGTAAGGTAGCTTGAAAAAATGTGCATATCTAAAATCCGGAAAGGAGGGAGAAGTGGGAAAAAAAGGGGTGCAGTGGGCCCATCCCCCATGGAGGGTGCTTTCCTACCCCTGTCCCTGGCCGACACATGCCTGCAGGTAAACCGAACACAAAGCACAGAGACGGATGAAAATGAAGCAGACGTGACGTGACATTCGGGCTGCTCCCTCTAAGCTGGGCGGGGGTGCCTACCCATTCCCTCTCGGCCGTGTCCCCAGCCTGCAGATAATGGGTTTTGCTATTTGTTGGGTTAATTTTGAACGAATTGAAAACTCTGGTCACACAGTCCTTCCCAAGGGTGGTACGGAGCTCGCGGATCTTGCCACAGTGGGCGGGGGCCAGCTGGGGGCGCCGAGCCGGGTCTCGCGG